AGAAATAAAATCTAAACATGAGCCCGGTGGATGCAGATGTAAGCAGATCTAAGTGAGTTCGAGGCCAGCCTGGTTTGTAAAGAAAGTCCAGGATAGCCAAGGCCACAGAGAGAAACCTTATCTCAAAACATCAAACCAAACCAAACAAAAATCTAAGAAGGAGGGTGCTGACCTGGGGAGCCCACAAATTGCTACCCTAGGAAACCCTTGCGAGGTTGTGATGAATAAGCTCAAGTTGTGGCAGGAAAATGTTGCCAGTTGCTCTGCCTTCTTCCTCTAGGTTCAGTTTCTCAACAAACACTGTTAGCTCTTTACTGTGAGTGGACTGTGTCCTTCCTTCTAATCCTCAAAAATGTGACCAGTTGCCCTCTTCCCTTTCACTTACCACCTACATGCTCTCCTCCAAAGCACTAATGGAGATGTATGGTAGAGCCCTCAAGCCGCTTCCCCGTTGCACTCGTCGCACGTAAAAAGTGTTATGATTTTTTTTTAACTCTCCCAATTTTTAGGCAAAAAAACATCGTAGTCAAATTTTCAATTTGGAATTAGCACAATGGCAGATGGAGGTGAGGTAAACATGCTCTCCCATCCCGCACCCAGATTTTAGTGTCTATGTTCCTGTCTCTCACTTTTTTTTTAAGAAAGTTTTTTTTGTTTTGTTTTGTTATTGTTGTTGTTCTTTGCTTTGTTTTGTCTTGTTTTTTTTTTTTTTTTGTTTTGTTTTTTTTTTTTGAGACAGGGTTTCTCTGTGTAGCCTTGGCTGTTTTGGATTTACTTTGTAGACCTGCCTGGCCTCAAACTCACAGAGATCTGCCTGCCTCTGCCTACAAGAGTGCTGGGATTACAGGCATATGCCACTGTGCCCAGCTCAAATAAAGTTATTTTCATACAGTATATTCTGGTTACAGTTTCCCCTCATCTCCCAGATCCTCCTGATCTTTCCAACTCCAAGCCTTCTCTCTCTCTTAAGAAAACAAACATCGTAGTGTGGTAATGCCTGCCTTTATTTGGGAAACAGAAACAGGTCAATCTCTGTGAGTTTAAGGCCAGTTTAATTTACACAGTGAGTTCAAGAACAGCCAGAGCTTCTTGAAAGAACTTGAAAGAGGCAGAGAAAAAGAAAAGAAAATAAATAGACAAAAAAGACAAATGAGGATAAAACAAAATGAATAAACAAATAAGAGAAGAAAGAAACTAATAAAAATTAAAGAAATGCATACACATGAAGACATACACACACCATAAAAACTGAAAATTGGAAACTGTAATATACAAGGAAAAGACCAGTAAATAAAATAAATAAACCCAAACAAAGTGATATGAGACAGAAACAAACAAACACTCCAAAAAATACCTCTGGGTTGTTTGTGTTGGCATTTACTGCTGGGGAAGGGGATAATTGCCCTGAGCTGCGGTTCATACTTCTTTTTAAAATTAATTAATTATTAATTAAATGGTTAATTATTTTAGGTTTTTGAGATAGTGTTTATGGCCTATTCAGCATTATGTCATATTGTGTAAAGCAGTGTTTTCTTAGTCTCTGCCTTACCCTTAGAGACTCCATTTTACAAATAGCTTTTGACTCTACGTTGATGGGCAGCTCTGTAGACTACCCATACAGCACAGAATGATAAACAGTTATTCTTGGGAGTGTAAAAGCAGCTTCTCTGTAAATTTGCAGGGGGTGAATTAAGACTGTAGGGGCACATGAGCATATTAAAATCATATCTGGGAAACACTGCGCAAGATACATGCTAGACCCAGGAAAAGATATAAGTCCCTCACTTCAACCCCATAAGGCCACAGACAGCTAATAGTGTGATACTATGGCCACACACCAGACTATCTTGAAAGGGTTAGACTAACTTTGTAACCTGTATGTCTTCTAAAGCCTATAGCTTTGAGTTTTAGGTTCAGGTTAAGCTAAAGCCTCTTAGTACCTTTCCAGAGAATGGAGGAATGTGACCCTATCTGTGAGGACAGACATAAAAAAGGCAAGCAAGCAATGACTTTCACTCAGCAAAAAAAAAGGACCAGACCCTTGTCTTTGAGATAGCATTTCTTAGCAACGAACCCAGACTTCTTCTGAGTAGCTTTTGACCTGCAGCCAAAAGTCCGCAGCCCCTAATCTTCAAGGATGAGCTAACCACCCCCACCTTAAATTGCAGCTGCATCCACACTTGGCAGGACTGGCCAAGCTTGAGCACCTAAGACTAACCAATTATCTTACTTTATAGTTTCCTCATCCAATCCTAAATTGCCAAAACTGCAACTTCAAATTTCCCGCAATTTTTCTTTTAAAAATCTAAGGTCTTTGTCTCCCGGGGCCACTCTTTGCTGACCGGCAGGGGTGGCCCCATTGCACAATGGTTAATAAACCTCTTGCTTTTGCAACGAGTCTCGTGGTCTGTGGGGTTTTTGGGAAGGGCACGATCTTAAACTCCTGAGCTGTGAGACCCCAGGTCTTACAACCTAATACCTGGTGTGTATAAGTCAAGGACTGACTTCCTGACTGCCCCCTTTCAGCTCAGCTCACTGTCTACCCTGCGCTGGTCCACCTGTTCATTCACCTTTCACTTATCTGGACCTGGACCTGAACCCACCATTTTCCATTCTCAGAACCCAGTTCAGCCTTCACCTTGCATCTGAAACTCTCCAGCTTCACAATGAAACTCTGACTCCAGCATTTCCTCAAGTCACTGGTCTACTTTGTTATCAATACAGACTCTCTCTCAGACCACGTCTAATGCCTTTTTGAACTCTGTTGTAGCCCCTTTAATGTTGTTTATTCTGTGAGCCCCATATATGCATACGGATATACAGATATAATTACCACGTGCTGTGCAATCTGACAGTTAATATTAGGACTTTGGGGTTGGAGTAAGAGAACCTGCTTTCCTCAGCCAGATTACTGAACTAGGTGGATCATATGACAAATTACTGCCACCGAAACCACTGAGCCTTGCTAATTTATTGCTATCCAATATGTTCTCACAGTGTGGAAAGAATCCGCACACTGCAGTCACAGTTCTCCCTCAAAACGAATCAAGGGCTCTGTGTAAAACAGAGTCTCCCAGAGCAAGGCATTCCTGGCATAGCCTGCTTACAACAGATGGGCTTCCCTGTAGACCAGGCTGGCCTCGAACTCATTCTGTATCCAAAGATGACCTTGAATCCCTGCTCTTCCTGCCTCTACCTTCCAGATGGTGACATTACAGGTTCGCACCATGTTTTTCTGCAGTGCTGGGGATTGAACCCCAGCCTTCATGCACTCTAGACAACCCATTTACCAACTGATCTACATTCCCAGCACTTTCAGCTAGTAGCTTCTATTCTGCTCAAGAAAGCAATGTCTGTAGTTGGTTTGGTGGTGGCATACACCTTTAATCCCAGCACTCAGGAGGAAGAGGCAGGTGGATTTCTGAATTAGAGGCCAGCCTGGTCAACAGAGTTAGTTCTAGGACAACCAGGGCAAACAAACAAACACAACAACAAACCAAAAAAAAAAAAAAAATCCCCCAAACAATGTCTGTTTAGTGAGTAGCATTTGATTTCCATTAACACATAAAGCACTTACTAATACTAATATCTGAGTTTTCATCTTAGTGGAAGATATCTTTCTTGCAGTTACTTTAATTCAGATTTTTTCAGGTTTGTTTTGTTTACAAGGAAGTAGCATTATTACCTTGTTAAGGTAAGAGGGCAGGAGCTGAGACTGGGTCTCACCCTGCAGCTCAAGCCGGCTCAGAACTTCAGACCTCCTGGCTCTGCTAGAATTACAAACATAAAGCACAAGACCTGCCTTGTTCTTTTCATTTGATGCTATTTTAGCTGATTAATAAATCTAGGCCTGTAATCTCAGCACTATGGGAGGTAGAGGCAAGCAGACATTTGTGAGTTTGAGGCTAGCCTGGTCTACAAAGTGACTCCAGGACAGTCAAAGATACACAGAGAAACCCTGTCTCGAAAAACCAAAATAACCAAGTAACTAGGTAGGTAGGTAGGTAGATAGATAGATAGATAGATAGATAGATAGATAGATAGATAGATAGATAGATAGATAATTTAGGCCCTTGTACGGTTGTTAGCGGTTTCATTACATTTTTTTATACTTAGCTTTCAGCCAAATGTCCAACGATGACGGAGGGAGACAAAAACACGGGTCATGGCAGGGGCAGGCTCTCTGTTTCACAACATAGACAGACTGCTTTCCCCGGGCCCTATTCGATCTCCTCTCAATTCCAGAAGGGTTTGTGAGGCAAATATCTTCTGTCCCTACACTGCTGCGGTAAAGGACATGTAGGAACTTGAATCACGTAGTTCACCGGCAGAACTTAAATTGACACATGCTCGTGAAGACCAAAACTAATTGCTCTTTTTACTCCAAATTCCTTAGCCAGAGCAAATGAGAAATTCAGATATAGGAAAGGAGTGGTTTGAGGTAAGGGCTTTGCCCCTTTCAATCAAACTAGTCTTTTTGTTTTGTGTTTTGTGGGTTTGTTTGTTTGTTTAACGGTGTTTGGTTTGAGACTCAGGCTAACGCCTGACCCACCTCTCTCCTTGGTGCGGGAATACAGGAGAGTGCCAGCCACTACGGGTAACTCCCATTCTAAATTGGTATGTTTGAGAACTTGCTCTGATGTAGCCTATTCGCTCATAGCCGGGTTCTGAGATTCAACCTGGGACTTTCTTTTTCTTTCTTTTTTTTTTTTTTTTATGTTAAACTTTGATTTGTTTGAGACAGGACCTCTCCGTCTGTAGTCGTGGCCGCCCCTACACTCACAGAGCTCCTCTAGCCTCTGCCTCCTGAGCGCTGAAATGAAAGCTGTGTGTTACCACGTCCGGCTTTGAAGTTTCGCCCATCTACCCCCAGCTGACAGCCACGCAGCAAAGAGAACCAGGAAACGCGAAGCCCGCGTTGCTGCGCACCGCACACTTTTTGGCCCACCTCCCGACCCGTAGCCGCGCAGAGTGCGCGGGAGTGGCTCGCTCATAAAAGGCCGGCTCGGGCAGTTTAGTTGCCAGTGTTGCTTCCGGCTTGGAAAGGAGCAGTTGTCGGAGCCGCGAAGATGGCGTCGACCAGCAGCCGGTGAGTGCGGCGGCCTCCGAGCCCGTGGAGCCGGGTGTCGCGGGGGCGACGCCCCTCCAGGCGGCTGCGGTAGGCGTCCCCCGCCCGCCTGAGTCGCCGCCTCCTGGGTTCGTCCCTGCGGATCCGCGCCACCCCGGCCTCCGTCTCTCCCCGGACCCCTCAACCGTCTTTGTGTCATGTTAATGATTTCTGTGTATTTCCTCCCTTACGGCCCATCCAGTCTGAGGGTCTGAAACCTTCTTTGCCAAGAGCCGGGGAAGCGACCTTCCCGTTCCCTATGGGTCTGACAGCTACAAAGTTGAGAAACGTCAGCCTTGGTAGCCTGCTGGCCAACCCAGTGGCCCCCAGAAGTGGAAAGGAAAGCACAAACTTTTGTTGCTTCATTCTCTCCTAAAGGACCCCCTTCCTAACTCCCCTCCCCAAAGTGTTATTGCGTACCCCGAACGAGATGTTGTCTCCAGAAAATTAATTACATATGCTGGAAGTCATTTTAATGCGTTTTTAAAACGTAGTGTACTTAATATCGACAGGAAATGCATGTCGTGCCCTCGGAGACAGCCTTTAATCTTGTGACCTGCAAAATGCTTGCAGACCCTAATTATATCTCTTGTAACCACTATGAGGTAGATATTAGTATTCTGGCATATTTGTAAACTGAGTCATGCCAGTGGGTTGACCTTACGAGTGCCTAGTATACCTATTTTTGATGATCATTACATTGGTCCCTAGTTAACATAGAATGTACCGAAAGTATCAAATTAGGTTCTGCACTTCTGGCACATTTTTCTGAGGTGGTTACTATGTATGGAATTGATAAACGTCACCACAGGAAGCCATTATTCACAGAAGCCGAGGCCCTTTCTGGGAACCTCCAAGATTGCTGTTTATTATAAAAAGTGGGAGGTGGGTATGGGGGGCAGTTTCAGCTACTTGTGTGGAAGATATGAGCTCTCTTGTTTACCGATTCTAATTTATGATTTAATTAGATTTAATTGTGTTTTAATCATTCCATCTGGGTGTGGTTTTGTCAGGTTTTGTCCTTGTAGGGACATGGGAAACTTCAGCTTCCCCAAATACTATTTTCCTATGGCTCTCGAAGAAACTGAATGTGTTTATATGTGGGCACAGCTTGTCATATTATGGAATAGGAACTTCCATATTCTTGAAACACAAGTGGTAGTCTTTAAATAGTACACATAGTAAACGTATTGGTTGCAGTTTTTAAACTTCTTCCTTTAAAAAATTCCTTGAAATTTATTTTTCTGGGCAGCCAGTTTTCATTTTGGTCTAGAAGTCTCCTGTCTCCACCTTGAAAGCAGTGGGGTTGCAGATATGTCCCGCCCATCATTTAGCCTTTAAGTTATTGTCATTACTAGGAGTATCAAGGTTTTCCACCAGTGGGAGTAGAGAGAGGTCAGTGTTAGATTTCTGCCTTAGTGTTTGTCCTTGAGGGTATACATCGTCACTAAGCCTTGGCCTTGGCTGGTGTCCTGTGTTCAGACGGAAAGCCCGCTACTTGTTCTGATTTAAGTAAAGAACTTTCTGATCATGATCTTTAAAATGAAGATTATTGTGCAAATTGTGTACTGAAAATGTGTATGGGGCTGGAGAGGTGGTTCTGTAGTTGAGAAGCACTGGTTGCTCTTCCAGAGGACCTGGGTTCAATTCCCAGCACCCACACGGCAGCTCCTGAACTCTTCTAACTCCAATTCCAGGGTATCTGTTCTCAGCTCTGCAGGCACCAGTCCATGCAGACATGCAGACCAAATACCTAGATGTAAACAAATAGTATGAGTACATTAAAGGTATTTCCATTATCATTTAAATACCCACAAGGCTTTGTTTCCCTTTTTTATGTGCTAGAGACTGAAACCAGGACCTTGTATGTTGTTAGGGAGCACTCTCCCAGCAAGCTGCATCCAGTGTCCTTACCTGCCTCTTCTGTTTTCATTTGTTCCTTTCTTTTTGCTTTTTGAGACTGTAGTCTAAGCTGCACTGGAACTCACTCTATATAGTTATTATCCACCGAGCTCCATTCCCAGCCCCTTAACCTGCTTTAATTTGTTGGTCTTTTGTTTTTCACTTTTGAGACAGTCTTACTCCGGTCTAAGTTCCCTGGAACTCACTCTGATAGTGATTAGGGCAGTCTTGGCTAGGTGGCAAACCTAGCTCAGCTTCCTGAATATTAGGATTACAGGGGTACGCTCCATCACACCTGGCTTGATACGCTTGTTAATATACTGTTGTGTTGGTGTCCTTTATCGCTTACTGATAGCTGCCCCTATTCTGCTAACATTTTCCTTGAGTTCAGCAGCTTTTTAGTTTTTATGCACTACTTAATTTTATTTCTCATAACTTACTGTTTTTTTTAATAAATTTACAGAGTAACTATAAGTATAAAGCAATTTTTGTCGTCCAATAAGAAAAGTTCAAGATATGTTTTAGGTAATTAAGTAAATTTGGTGGTTATTTGATTTTTTTTTTTTAATCAATTTTCCATTTAGTGACTTAGTTGGTAGTTAGGGAACTGGAGACTTGGCTGTGGTTAAAAGCACTTGCTGCTCTTGAAGAAGTCCTGACACCCACATGGTAACTGTACTTCCAGGGGATCTGATGCCATTTCTGAGCTCTGGGCACTGAACACGTATGTAGTACACATACACACATGCAGGAGGAACACACAGAAACCAAAGTGAATATATCTTTAAAATAGATGGATGAAAAACAGGGTTAGTAGTTAAAACATTCCGAATTATACTGGTTAGCCTGGGAAACCCGATCCAAAACTACAAAAGCCTCACATACTGTCAGAACAGTTAATTTTGTGCTATAGGTGTATGCTTGTAGGATTAAAACATGTCAAATGAATTTTAGAAGAGTGCTCACACCTTCCAGGAATAATAGTTAAGTTTTTGCTAAGAATCTGTTACTTTAAAAGCTTGTTTTATCAAATCGTTTAAGGTTAATCAACTTCCACAAACTGTTTTATTTTTCAAGACAAAATAAGAGATTTTTTTAGTATTATGAACTAGGCTTTGTGGCACATCCCTATAATCTCATCACTTCAGGAGGCTGAGGCAAGAGGATTGCTCCTAGTTTGATGCTAGCCTGGGCTATTTAGTGAGTGGGAGACCAATAGGACCACAGACCAACAAATATAAATATAAATGTTACTAATACCATAAATTTTAAGTAAATATGTTAGCTTTGAAGTCATATTTTTCTTTTTAGTTTCTTAGATCAGCATGCAATATAATGGATCTCATTATGGCATTTCTTACACTGGTGTCATCACACCTTATTATTCATTACTTCCCCTAACCTCCACCTTCTTTCTGATGCCCTTCTCCCAAGTAGTTCTCCCTTCTGCCCTCTTTCTTCTCTCCTCCCTCACTAAGATCACCTCCTCCTCTCTCATAGGCCCCTTTTTCCTTTCAGTTCCTACATACATATGTTACATGTAAGTATATGTTTATACACACATGTAAACTTGAACACAAATTCCACACAGGAGAGAAACATGCTGTCCTTGTTTTTCTGATTTTTGTTTATTCACTTAATCATCATCATCCTCATTATTATTATTTTGGTTTTTCAAGACAGGGTTTCCCTATGTAACCTTGGCTGTCCGGGACTTGCTCTGTAGACCAGGCTGGCCTGAAACTCAGAGATCCTCTGACTCCCAGGTGTTGGGGTTAAAGGCATGCCCCACCACTATGCAGCTAGGGATACCTGTTGTTAGTGCAGAGAAACATGGGTGTAGTGGTGTTTGTGTACTGTGTTTGCTTAGAACCCTCAGGAATTGTGTAGTCTTATATAGTTCTATTTTTAAAAATCATATTAGTGTGTTTATTTATTGGGGGAAGGGGGTGCCAGGCTGTGAGTCAGGACCTGTGGGATTCTACTTTCTCCTCCAACCTCGGCAGAGGATAACCTATGGAGGTTGGTTTTCTCCTTCCACCATGTGAGTCCCAGTGGCTGAACTTAAGTCACCAGGTGTGGCAACAAGCACTTCTTCCCACAGAGCTAGCTCATCAGCCCTATGATTTGTCTTTTGAGAAAACTCCATTCTGATTTCCATGGCAGCCATCACACTTTATCTTCCCATTAGCAGTGTGTGAAAATTCTTCTTTCCCACATTTGCCATAGTGTTTGTTGCCATTTGTTTTCTAGATATGGCCATTCTGACTGGGATGAGATAAAAAGCAGTTTTAATTTCATTTTCCCAGTGGCTAACGATACTGAATACATGGCAAATATTTATTGGCCATTTGTATTTCACCTTATGAGAACCAACTTTTTAGTAGTCCCTTTGTTGATTGCATGGTTTGCCTTTTTGGTACTCAATTTTTGGAGTTCTGTATAGATTCTGGATAGTAATACTGCTATGTCACTGGCAGAGGCTTTCCTCCCATTCTGAAGTTTCCTGACCCTGCTGTTTCCTTTGCTATGTAGATGCTGGTTAGTTTTTCATGCAGTCACTCTTTCAAGTTCTTGGGATTATATCCTGTGCTATTGGAATCCTTTTAAGAAAGTCCTTGCTGTACCTATACCTTGAAGTGTTTTTTTCCCCCTGTATTCTCAGTGCTTTCAAAGTATCAAATCTTTTTTGCTTTTGTTTTTAAAAATTATTTTGTGTGAGTGTTTTTAAAAAGTATTCTATGTGCCTGGTGATCCCAAAGGCCAGAAGAAGCAATCAGACCCCATGGAACTGGAGTTACAGGTGGTTGTGAGCCACCATGTAGGTGCTGGGAACTGGACCCAGGTCTTCTGGAAGAGCAGTAAGCACTCTGAGCCTCTGAGCCACATCTCCAGCCCCAAAGTTCAGATCTTGTATTCCAGTTTGAATTGATGTTTGTGTGCTGTAAGAGATATGAATCTAGTTCCTTCTATGTATGATTATCTAGGTTGATTATTTATTTATTTTTTAATTTGTAAAGAAATCTGTGTCTTTTGTCTGGGCTGATCCTGAAGTCCTAGACTGAAGGAATCCTACTTCCTTGAGTAGGAAAATGCTGGGACTATAGGCATACATTAGCATGCCCAGTAAAAGTAGTTTTTAAAGGTTAAACTTCTCACTTCTGGACTGGACTTAGTGAAGCCATCAGCTCTTAAGGTCAGCACAGCCATACCTGAGTACCGTTCATGTAGACGTATGTGTTTTGGTTTTAGTATGTCATGTTAAATCTGTGGTAAGGGGGTTAGCAGGAAGGAAAACACAGTTATTTTCTAACAAGAGAAATGAAGAGCACAAACCAGATAATTATATGTAAATGTTGCTGGCTATTTTAAGTTATTATTTTATTTAATCAGGGGTTTGAAAAAATCTGTGGCTTGCCTATTACTAGAAAACAATAAAATCAGATTTGTTTCATATTGTTGGGAAATATAAAAAATGTGTTTTTTTCTTCCATGTAGTTTGGATGCTCTCCCAAGAGTCACATGTCCAAATCATCCAGATGCAATTTTAGTCGAGGACTATAGAGCCGGTGATATGATCTGTCCTGAATGTGGCCTAGTTGTAGGTAAGTAGCTATTTAAGGTTTTAATTTAAATCATAATGTACAGTACTTTGCTTTTGTACAGTTTTCAAAGTTCTTTCATTTGTTCTTTCTTTCCTTCCTTTCTTTCTTTTTCTCTTTCTTTCTTTCTTTCTTCCTTTCTTTTTTTCTCTTTCTCTTTCTCTTTCTCTTTTTCTTTCTCTCTCTCTTTCTCTTTCTCTTTCTCTTTCTCTTTCTCTTTCTCTTTCTCTTTTGGTTTTTCTAGACAGTTTCTCTTTGTAACCCTGGCTGTCCTGGACTTATTTGTAGATCAGGCCTGCTTCTGCCTTCCAAGTACAGTTTTCAAAGTTTTAATGAATACATGTTGATAGTTCCCACCCCACACAAGTAAGTCACAGTTATGATAAAGTAAAAAGAAATAGAAATGAGTAAGACTCTCCAGAGATACTGTGTACATTGCATGTATGTAACCAGTGAATGCTTTGTAATGTAGGTGAAAACTTATCAAGAAGAAATGAAAAGGCCAACAGTACTTGCATCCAGTTTTTTAGAGTCAGTGGAAGGTGTGTCTGAGAGATTGATACTCAAATAACTAATAAATGTGCAACTTTTGTGGCACTTGTATGCTCTCTAAAATAAATATGGTAGATTTCAGAGTAATAATATTGAGCCTCATCCAATTCCTTCTAGGAAAAAAGATTGTTAATACTTACAGCATCATGATCTAGAATATCTAGTTTTAATTGTTATTTTTCAAATATGCAACATCTTAAAATTTTACTTTTGGGCCTAGGGATATAATTCGTGGTGCCTAGCACTGAGAGCCCTTGGTTCATCCCCATTGCTACAAAAAGAAACATAAATAAGGTTTCAGTTTTATACCTATTTGGTCACTAACCTACATACACAGAAAAGCCTTAGAATCACACTAAAAATTAAGATGTTGTTCAGCAGTACCAGAGAAGGAATACTGAAGGTTTGTTATTTTGTTTTGTTTTGCAGTACTGGCAAGGAAGCCAGGGCCTCATGTGTTAGGCAAGCAGTCTGTTACTGAGCTGCATTCCCAGCCTTTGAGCAGTTTGACTCACTTAGAAATGAAATTGCTATTAGGAATTATAACAAATGCTGGTAGCGTGTACTACGGAATTGTCTTATTTAACGTCATCCTCCCAAGAAAGCTGCTTACTGCAAACCACATGGGAAGTTTTTGTTTGTTGTTATTGCTTTGAGTATTTAAGACTTCCTCCCACACTGATCATCTTACAGTTGGAATTTTAGAACTTATAGAATAACTAGTAGAAATTGAGATCCATTGTGCCTGGGGTGAGTACACAGCTACCACTTGTATTTAACATGGCTTTCATGCTCAAAGTGGCCTTTATACTTTCAAGTGGTCAAGAACAATTGAAATACTTCTTTTGGACCCAAGAAAATGCTACCACATTTAAGTTTTGTTGGAACATGTTTTATTGGAACATGTCCATAGTACTTGTTTTCATATCACCTTACCTGCTTAGCAATTGCAGCAGAAACCACAGGCTGGCTCTTCTCACCTGGCTCTGTCACTCCGGTACACTGTAAACATTATTAGTTGTGGATGTAAGTCGCTATTTTATAGTGTTTATTTTATTACTATCTTGTACCCATGTCCAAACAAACTTATCACCCTCTTAAGGTGGAGTAATTAGTTTGTTGATTAAGTAGCAGTGCTGTTGTTATGCAGAGATGCTGTAACTGTGGAATGACCATAGAAAATCCAGACATGACCATGGTCAGCACTCTTCAGTGGTCAGAAAAAATTAACATGGAATGTGTGATCCCAGCAGGATTTCCTAAGAAAAACAAAGATTAGACTAGGTCTGGAGTTACCACAGAGTAGTCATGTTCTCCACATGATACTTGATTTCAAAAGGGACAGTCAGGAATGTAAGGTGTTTTGTTTTTGAGAGAGTGTTGAAGGTAGAGCCAAGCAAGCCAAAGACTGTGTCTAGAGGCAGAGTGCACAGATTGCTCAGTAAAGTCCTAAGACCCACGCAGATTGGGACAGTGGAGAAATCTGTTCTGCTTTGGCATGAGAGCCAGTCACATGACTGTTCAGTGTATCATAGTGGTCTGTTTGACTTATAGTTCATTTGAACTATAAAATACATTGAAGTGCTATGATTTGGCATTATCTGCCTTTTCTATAATTCGTGTGTGGTGTGCATGTGTTTATAAGCTTGCAGAGGTCAGAGAGTGTCATTTTCCTCCTCAGCCTCTTAAGGCATGGTGGACCTCGATTTGCTCCTGTTCATCTGGTCAGTAAGCCTCACAGATTCCCTGGTCTCCACCCATACACCCTGCACCCGGTTTACAAGAGTGTGGCCATGTTGAAGTTTTTAAGTGGGTGCTCACAGTCTGAATTTAGGTCCTTACGGTTGTGCAGCAAGCCCTTATACCCACGGAACCATCTCCCTTGTAGCTCTGGTTGGCCTGTCACTCGAGGGACTGCCTGCCTCCGTCTCCTTACTGGGATGAGAGGAGTGGATCATCACACCGGACCTTTATTGGTGCTTCTTAGGATGTGTGGTTACTAAGTAGGCCAATAAGGCAGAGCTTTCTTCCTTTCATGAAACTGTTAAGTCAAACCATTGTGCACTAGTCCCATCCCTAACTATTCTAAAAATGTGATTGTGTCACTGTAGAACTTCAACAGTAGATGGCAGTGCAGTATTTAGGGCATCGGTTCATTCATAACTTTGACCTTCTACATAGCTTGAATGTTGATTTATAATCAGCAAAATAGTAAGTTTGCAGTCGCAGTCATGGCTGTTAGAAAATAAAGGCCAGGGAGTAGAGCTGAATGGTAGAGTGAATGTCTGTCTTGTTTAACGAAACATATTTAACCACCGACCCTGCTGAAAAAAAGAATTAATGGCCTGCCTTATGAATTGGAATTCACATTAGTACTGCTTAAATTAGTAGTTCCACTTTCAGTTAATGTCATATCATGTTCACTACTTAAATTTAAATTAATATTTCTAAAAGTGATGTAAGAAAAGTAGGTTTGTAAAAGAAATGAGTCTTTTTGACCTTTTCTTCTAAAATTCAGTCATTGCCAGGTCAAAAGGTGTTGGAGTGGTGACTGCTTTGAACTTGTGAGAAGGATTTTGACAATTTTTCTTGATTGCTTCTCAAAAAATACAGAGAGGACGTTTATGTCTCTTTAGAGTGTGATGAAATGTTCTTTAGATGCCAATCTTTGATATAGATTATATGCTGCAGTGCAGTGACAGCTGCTGGGTAGGAGTTCCTTCTTCTGTCGTCCTTTGGTAAAGCCTGCAAGGTCTTGCTCTAGAGTGGAGACAGCTACAGTGATAGTTGTCCGTGGCAGTGCTGCTGTTGACAGCGCGTGAAAACTTCTATCGGGTCTAGGTTTACAAAAATCAACGTGTTGGTTTAAGAGGGGGAAAGTTGGCATGTTTCTGTTTCTAGGATACTTGAGGGTGTGTGTGCTTACTGTTAGGCTTCTTGCTGTCCTAGGTTGATTACAGGCTTCCCCTTTATCAGAGACTGCAGTAAACATTAGGGCTATTTGATGTCATGCCTCCCTTGAAATGATTCTGGGTTGCAGTTTTCTTCCAGGAAAGCTTACAACACTGTCTCATTTGGATTTTAAGTGGGAATCCTTTATGTATTCAGATTTTTTCTCAATAGCCCTGCCTCTTTCATGTGCATGATTTTTGGACTTCTTATACTTTCATGCTAATGCTCTTTGAGTTGCCTTAGAAGTTTGATTCTTATAAATGCTGTTGTGAGCAGCTGCATCTAAAAGGGAATGAGTGGCTCTTGGTATAAGCTACAGATTCTTGAATGGAGATTTAGATCATTCCACATATTTGGAAAAGTTTACTCTCTTGCTCATTGATAAGTTTTTCTCTTTATGTTATATACTAGGCCACCTCATAAATATTAATTTGAAAGTCCGTTTTCTTTTTAAAGCAGTATAAAGCAATCAGCAAAAGGTACTTTGATGCCAAAAGGAAAATGTTGTAGGCGAAGCATTTTGCCTTGCTGCTGCTTTATATCCAGATACGCAGGTAGAATTACAGGATGTGGGCACACCTGCATGCCTTTCCCCTGTACTTCTTTTGATATATCCATTTCTGTCACTTGAAAACATTACAGTTTGCCTGGCCTGGTGGCACAGGTCTGTAATCCCAACTACCAGGAAGGCTGAGGCAGGATTAAAGTTCAGCACCTGCTAGAATGAGTCCCAGGCCAGCATGCACAATTTAGTGAGGTCCTGCTGCACAGTAAAAGCAGCTGTAGGGCCCACCATACAGTTCAGAAAAAAATGAAGTTATATGTGCTTTGTGTCCATGCAGCTATGTGTAAGCAAGTGACACTGTTCTTTTACCTTTTCTAATTTGTTAACTCTGGTTTGAAGGCCTCAGTAGCTTATGTCTGTGCATTTTTTTTCCTGATTAGGAAATTTGGCCTCATTGACTGAAAGTAAAGTGCATGGGAACCACATAACACCGCTCCCCTAACTTGCCCTTCCTTGGAGCCGTGCTTAGGCTCCATGGTAAAATGCCTTAGAACTGAGGTCTTTGCTCTTGCCCTCCTTGCTTGTTCTCAGTGCATATGGAGATGACAGGTGGGGACATCACCTCTCATTGGTCTTCTTGTTACTGAGACATGATTGTCCAGGCAATACTCTGGTTATTCTTGGGTTCTCTGGAAGTTCAGAGAAAATTGAACTTGTCAGAAGCCTTCATTAACAAGTCATTCATCACATATTTACTTATCTTGTAAGTACATCACTACATTTAGATTGTGGTTGCTATTCTGTATACGTGCATTTTAATGTATTCTATAAAAGATTGGCATGGTCTGCATTGAAATAATCCTTTCACTCCATTCTCCCTTGTTACTAAGTACCTGCTGCAGAGCCCCAGGGAAAGAGTCAGATGAGTGCCTGACTCTCCCCCAAACATACACTGGAAATAGAACATGTGCTAGTTTTTTTAGTTTTCATAGCAAGAAGTGGACAACACTGAGGACTTCTAGCTGCTTTTAAGGAACTTTACATGCATTATCCATATGCATTAACTAATCTAAGCTTCACAGGCTTTAAAATAGGAAGTTACTGGGGATATCTAAAGCTTTGGAAATAAGGCCTAGAAATGAAAAAATTGGGGCCATCCAGGATGGCTCAGCAGATAAAAGTGTTTCCCACCAAGCCTGACAAACTAAGTATTCACCTGAACTCACACAGTAAAAGAGAATTGTCCTTTGACCTCTACACATGTATGGTACATACACACACACACCCCCTGCACACAGTAAAAGTAGGGAAATGTAATTAAATTAAGATTTTTATTTTAAATTATTTGTGGCAGATGTGTGCACGGGAATAGAGTTTCCATGGAGAGTGAGGTGGATCCTCTAGAGCTGGTTACAGGAAGTCGTGAGCCCCCTGATGTGGGTGCTGAGACGCAAATTTGGGTCCTTTGGTGAAATGGGGTATGCCTTTAACCGCTGAACTATCTCCTCATTCCTCCATCTAATTTTTTTAATGAAATAATTTTTTCAAAGCTAAGCAGCAGATTATATTAACTTTGATTTTTTTTTTATACAAACCTACTTTATTTAGGGTTATTAGATGTTTCTTCCTCCCAGCCACCCCCCAACACCAGATTGGAGGGAGAGGTTAGTAGGGACAGGGGGTGGAGTTCTCTCTGCTACGTCCTCCTGTGTAGGGTTGTAGGATTCTTTTGGGGGCAACACCAATATCAGTTATCCAGAAATCCAAAAGTCTAGGTAACCAGCAAACAGCAACTGCAGCAGCAGCATGAACCAGCAGCAAGCTGTCCTCCTCCTCTATGCGCCTTCTTCCTCTGGGCTGTCAATATTTATACCTCTTAGAGTTCTCATAATTCACCTACTTCCACCTGGCAAAGACTATGCACCACACGAGACACTTAACAGGTGTGGACAAACTAAAACCCCAACATGGAATTTCAACAAAAACCTGTTTACATATCATAAACCAAAACATACAACAAGCTTAGTCTCACACTTGTAACCATTGTATTCATTGGCTGTCCATACTGAAACTTACTGCAGTGGCTGGCAAAGATGAACATGATGAGTTTTCAATTGCCCTATGGCAGAATTCATTGAAAGAGTTCAGTGGAATAAGGTGGAATCTGATACGCTGTGTGATCTTTGGCCAGTTAACCTCATTTGTGAAGTACCATTGAAAGTGGTACCTGTATTTATTATAGCTCTCAGGATTAAACAGTAAGATTTACTATGGGCACACCGTCCAGCGTGTGTTTTTGTGTTCAAAACAAAACTCTCTCTCTCTCTCTCTCTCTCTCTCTCTCTCTCTCTCTCTCTCTCT